CCTGGGAAGCTCTGAGTGGCTGTGACACAGCTCATCCCCACCCCGGAGCAATAGGGGTGGTGGTCTGGGGAAAAGCGGGTCCAGGGTCCACGGCCACGTAAGGGGACAGGATGTGTGCACAGGGTGTGACGTGCGAGTGGCACACAACTGTGAATCCACATGCTGCCCCTGTGTCCCCGCTGGGTTCTGCCCAGGCTGTTCCCGAGTGCCCACTGCCAGGACACCCTGCTCAAGCCTCAGTTTCCCCAGCAGCACAGAGAGGGGTGAGCTGGCTGGTGTCCCCTGCCTGTCCCTGGGGCCACTGAGGAGACTCCCACCCCCTTGGTGCCCCCCAGCCTGCAGGGTGGTGCCCTGGCAGTGCTGCCTGGCACAGGTCGCTATGGTGAGCCAGCCCTGCACTGCCTCAGCTGCAATCTCCGGGCCAGCATAGCTTCTGCATCACCTCACTGGGGGCTGGGGGATGTCACCCTGTCCCCTGATGCCCCTGAACAGCAGCCCCACAGTCCCCTGTGCCCCCCATGGCCTCTGGGCACCTCACCCCATGACCAGCCGATGCCCCTGTGGGGGACTAGGGGGTCCCTGGGCTGTGGGTGCTGCCCAGGCTGGCACAGTGATGGTGGTTCACCGGGCACACGCTGCCACAAGCTGTTGTTTTTTCAGGCGGGGGTGAAATGAGGCGTCAGAGGATGCAGTGAACCGTGAACCGGCTGTGCCACAGCGGGGCCCCCACCCCCTGCTCCACCACGGTGAAGGGACATCCACCTGGGCTGGGCACTCTGCTGGCACCACATTTACGGGGGTCCCCAGCCCTGTGAGGGGACAGGGCTGGAGCCCCAGCCCCATGGCCAGTACGGCATCACCGACCTGCCTGTCCCTGCGAGGGGACGGTGAGCTCTGGGAGCACAGCACGGGAGTGGCTGGGTGGTTTGTCCCCAGCCCCTCACCCTGTTTGTGTCAAGGCCAGATGCTGCTCCCGCCCCCTCGGCAGCTGTGGCAGCATCTGCCCACGCTCACCAGCTCCCACATGTTCCATCTAAGCCCGTGTCCCAGCCTGGCTGTGCAGTGGGACGGGGCTCCTCAGCCTTGCGACCCACGTGAGCCCAAACCTGTCCTCAGAAGCCCCTGTTGGCACCACGGGACCCCCAGCCCTGTGGCAGCACCAGAGGCACCAGCTCTGAGCGCACCAGGCTGGACCCAACACACAAGAACTAGGAATGGTTCATATCCCCCCCATGGCTCTGGCACTGCCGAGGTCTCAGTGTCTCCCTGGACGTGTCCCCAGGAGTGAGGGGTCCAGGCACTGCCCCTCGAGGTGACCTGGTGCGGGGTCTCTGGGCTGAGCACAGTGCTGGGGGAGCCCTGGCTGTGGGTAAGGGGCTGCTGTGCCCATGTGAGCTGGGCTGCCCCCATCTTGTGGGGTCTATACCCCTGCCTGTGTCCCATCTGGGGTCCCAGTTCTGGCTCCCCACTCCCTGGTGCCACCGGAGCCACAGTCAGAGTGGGGTACTCACCTCTGGCAGTGGGGTGGGGGCACCCAGCACCACCCTCAGCCTGTGCCAGCACCACACCAGCCCCAGCACGTGGCACTGGAGCTTTTGGGGGGCAAACGCCACCCCAGCCCCGCGATGAAGCCCCTCCAGAGGCGTCAGGGTGGGCGAGGGGCCATCGGAGGCCGCCCAGGGTGCACGGGCGGCCTCTTGGCTGCAAAGACTGGGAAAAGGGCAGGCAGTTCCTGCCGGCAGCCCGGATGCCATGGTGATGGGCTGCTGCCGGCATGAATACCCATGAGCCGGGGGAGCGGGAGGCCACCGAGCTGTGCCCTGAATGCAAAG